AAGAGTAACGTATCTTAAAAATCTATAACAATCATTTGTTCTGGTTACTTGTGAATCTATTTTCAAATCCCTCTCCTCATTCACCTGTCAAACTCTTCTTCTTATCCATGTCCCAAATTAAGGTTTTTTTTTTTATCCTTTTGGACAAATAATGAAAGTAATAAGTTTAATCCTTTTCACTTGCCAATATTTCATCCTGCTAAAGAACATTCTGTCTAAAGTGGTACCTTGACAAATGTGGATTACTATTGTGTTCCCATCAGATTCCATTTCGGCTTCAGACTTACATTATTCTCAAGCACGTCCTTTTATGGTAACTCTACCTAGATAAGGTCAGTGCCATTTTTTAACTTCAACCAAACAATTTAAATTTAGCTCACATAACAAGAAACTGTTAACTGCCCTTTGTTCCCCTGGTTACACCTCAAATTCATAGCTTTATATTAAGTCATTAATTTTAGAGGATTTAATACTTGCTGCTCACTTTTAATAGAAACACACACAATACTAATTTAAAAAAGAAAAAAATGGAAGCTTTAAGGCTAAAGCTGCCCAACAAACTACTACATTGACTCTAACTTGCTGCACAGATACAACGGAAACATTTGTATAGATAAAGAATGTATAAATCTACAAACTGGCTGGAGAGTTTTAATAAGCCATTAGCATGTGTTGAAAGAAAAAAAATGAGGGGAGAGGGGGAGAGTTGATTATAAAGGTAATCTGTGCCTGGACACTTACTGGATCCTAACATTAACATTTTGCTGTCCTAACTTTTTTGTTAAATACAGAAGGTTTCTGGATAGAGAAAATTAAGGGCCAAATTCTATTCCATCTATTAAGTAAGTGGTCTTAGGCACTGACATGCATTCTATTCTACCCAGCTTGAGTCCCTGAAGACATTAATGAAAAAGATGAATGGGTCTTCTTCCTCTGGCCTGCCTTTCTGTGACCAAACTTAAAGGTGAGATGTTTGGGTATTAAAAAAGTAGATGCAATAACAGGGTTTCAAAATCTAAACAGGGTAGAATAGAATTGTTCTTAAGCATCTTGGTTGGGGTGGGCAATTACTTGGGCTGGGGGTGCCACTTAGGGAGTTTAATAAGCTGTTGCAAACCAGGTCAGCACTCTTCCCCCCCTCCCACCCAATAGCTCACCAAACTCTCTAAGTGGCTATCCCACACTTGGCCAGGCAAATGGGATGGGGCCATGGGGAACAGCATTCAGGAGCAGGATGGGGAAGTAGGGCTGGAGCCAGGATCAGGATCATGGGGCCATGACAGCACAGGGCCGAGGTCAAGCTGCAATTTGCTTCCTGCGTGCCCCTGTGAGAGGCACCAGTTCCATGGGCAGGGGCATGCCAGGAGCAGATCATGACTCTGCCCTGGGCCCCGGCCCCATTCTGTCACCACCCAGTGATCCTGGGGTCTCCATGGAGACCAGCCAAGGACCCACATGGGCAGGGTGCACTTAACTGGGCAGTGGGATGGGGCTGTGAGCAGGTGGGGAATGACATCCAGGAGTGGGATGCCATTCCCCACCTGCAGGGCCGGGGCCACAATCAGGATTGTCGGGCAGGGTCTGGGGCAGAGCTGCAATCCACTCCCCTGCCCACAGAACTGGTGCATAAGGGACATACAGGAGGTAGATCATGGTTCTGCCCTGGGCCCTGGCCCCATGCTGTCACTTCTCCACAATCCCGATCCTGGCCCCGCCTGCCCATCGTGCTCCCAGATGCCACTCCCCACTTGCCTGCAGCCCCGTCCAGTCTACCCAGCTGCCCACACCCTGTCCATGTGCAGGAAATGTAGTCATTTCACAAGGCAGAGCCAGTTCCTACTCCAAAGAATTAACATCTACATTTTATACATGCTATCCATAGTGGAGATGAAACTTAAGCCAGCAATACCATTATGCAATTATGTAGGTTAGGTATGTGCATGTGATGGTAACTCAGATAAGGTTTGGGTTTTCATTATACCTATACAAATATATGAGCGAGTATTTTTTAATCTCTTCATGGTGGCCATTACAAAAGAGATGAGTTCTCAAGAAGAAGGATAGTGGCTCAAAGAATGCTATGTGTGCAGCGTCTAGTCTTGGAAGTGTTCTTAGTTCCCAGTTATGCACTGGAGGAACAGCTGTTTTAAAAAGTGCTGTGATGGCACAGAACAGGAAAACAATATCTTTTTTTTATTTGAATTTGAAAAAAGGTGAAGGATGATCACCTGAATTGAATTTACATACTGATACTGTGATTTACCAAGTAAAAAAAACCCCTACAAACAGTCTATTGCACTTTATTACCTGCATTGGAATGCCAGTATTTCCTACTTTAAATATGTAACAGACTAATATCCATGGTAAATTCAGAGTCCACATTAAAAGAAAGCTCTTTAAGTCTCTCTCTCCTTAAGTGACTTATTTTAAAAGCAAGACAGTTTGAGATTTACCAACTGAAATAAGTGCTTAAGTACAACTGCCAGTAACATTTTTATTCTGCGAATCTAAATTATTGAGAGAAGTGCCTTGTAAACTACAATGTGCTTTAGGGATTAAATTAATCTCTCTATCCACAGAAGGGGTCAATACAGTAGCAGCAACAGTGCCTCTGAAGCTGGGAAGAGGGGATAAGTCAGAGGACCTTGTTTGATTTGAAATAGTCACTGAAGAGGTAAAAGATCTCCTAGCCCACTTCCTTAACACTTTCTCAATTGAGTTGATGTACACTACAACTGCCACTCCATCAAAACCTATGGAATTCATCCAGGCTCACCTAGGAAAACCAAAGTATGCCAACTACATATATTAGAAAAAACAAAACAAAGCTAGAAGCCAAGACAAGGTAATTTGACCAAGCATTGGTAGAGCTATTTGAAAGAAATCCTTAGGTCTGTTTAATCAACATGAAGCACAGAAACACAGATATTGTAAATCATTTTGTAAAAGATGTAATATAGGGAAAATAGAATAGACAACACATTTTTAAAGTACTGATGATTACTAGAACTATAACTTGTCCTTGTTTATGTGTGTCATCTTTTTAACTGTATTAGAATGCAATTAATTATTTTAAAATATTTAATTAAAATCTTAAAATGCTATTGATTAAAACATTTTAAAACCTCAGGCTGCTGAGATCAGTGTCACTGAACCAAAGGAGTAGTAACTTGTTTTTTTCCTGGGCTACTAACTTAAAAATAAGTAAAAAAAATACTAAGGAAAAAAAGCAGTCATTAAATATTGTACATATTTAAAACAATGTCTTAAATTATTAGTCTCTAACTTTCTGCTTATGTGGTAGAACCATATTTTTATTCTAGTATTTCAAATATTTTAGAGATAAGATTGAAGATATTTTGATCAAGGCCTGGATGGGAGCAAAGTAACTAACTATCTTAAAATCTCAGTGAGTAAAATTACAAAAGCAAAAAAATGCTGAATTAGTAGTGGCATTATATTTTTAGTTAAACAGTATCCTGGCTAGCTCCAGCAATACTGTTCAAAAAAGAAGCAGGCAGGGAGAAAGTATGATGAAAGGCAAGCTTCCATGCCTCAAGAAAGGATGCAGCATCAAAGGGAGATCTCTAGCACCAGACAAGAATTCTCTGGGCACATCTACACATGCCAATTTAAAGTGCATTAGCCATTTTTAAGATGCATTACGGGTGCAGGTCTACACACATGCACCCTTAATGCACCTTAAAAATGGTAATTTTAGGCTATTCATGCCTAAATTTGATACCTGCAAAAGCTGGTATCAAATTTAGGCACGAATAAGTAAAGTGCCTTAACACACATGTAGATGTGTTAAGGCGCATTAACGCTGTATATGTCAACTGATTTGGGACTAACATTAGTCCCAAGGCACATGCACATTAAGTTTAGGCATGCGTAAAAGCACACGTAGACACGCCCTCTTTGTTTTAAAACACTCTGACTAGTGGCCAGGTGTCTCATCAAATACTTGTTCAGCCGCTAACAATAAGGTGTTTTAGAACCTCAAATGCAAACAAATTCAGAGCAGTGAATAGAAGTCTACATGGATAGAGGATAGTGAGGCTGTAAAGGGACAGGACTAGGAGCATCAGCCTCAAGCTGCAGCAGGGGATATTTAAACTGGAGATTAAGAGTAACTTTCTGACTATAAGGGTAGCTGAGCAAAAGAACAGACTACCTAGAGAGATTGTGGATTCACCATGCTTGGAAACTTTCAGAAGCAGGTTAAACGCACTTGGCTAGGATGGTCTAGTCAGGGATGATCCTGCCTTGAGTAGGGGGCTGGTCTAGATGATCTTGTGATGTCCCTTCCAGCCCTACTTTGCAATGATCCTATGGGCAAATCAATTTCAAAATGTCCCGGTGTACACAAAAAGAGTAGAGGCAGGCCAGCATTAATGTATTTAAGACTACAGTATTAGCCTTGAGTTTTAATCTGTTACACTGTAATGCTGTAGTTTTCTTTATAGAGTTGTACTTAAAGAACATGGGAACCTAGAATACTAGCCTATAAAAGTCTTCCACTGAACCTACTACTAGACAATAAAATAATCTCCTCTCTGCTGACAACTGACAACCTTAAGTCAAGTCAAAATTCCTGAAAGTATGCCTATTGCAGAAGTTCGAAGAACCCTGCAGTACTCAGTTGTTGTATTTCTGGCTCAGGCAGAGCTCCTGCAAAAAAGCTGTGGGCAGGAAGTGTTTCCTGAAAAATACTCAACAGGTATAAAATGTTATATTCTACTAAAATATACTCCCACTGTTTATAGCTGCTGAGGATCTGTCCCTGAGTGTCTCTTTCCAAGCCACCTAGGGCTGAACAGCCCTAAGAAAATTACTAAGGCTCTACAACTAAAGAGAGCCTCTTGGCACTGCCACAAAGAAGGCGAGGACAATATGACTCTAGGATGGTTTAATTTGAACAACTAACCCGTGAGCCCTGTTGATCACAGATTAG